AGAATAATTCATATTAAAAAAACTGCCAATGCTTCCTGCAAGAGGTACTCGTCCGTATGCAAACAACTGATACATGACGATAAACTCGCCGAAAGTCAATAGTGGCATATCTGCCATTTATATTATCGGCAGACATATTTCTGGACGAGAGCTATCACCTTTGGCTATAACATTACGTACCTTAATTATAAATCGCATTACTATGATTAGTATCGCTTACGGTATGCTAGAATATGATGGGGGTGACATAAACATGACGTTCACGCACTCAGTTGCAGTTACTTACTTACTCATGGAGCTGAGCCCTTCTAGAAGAGAAGCCAATTCTGCAGCTACTCAAGAATTTCCAAAGATTTTATGGAACCCGAAGGTTCATTGCCTTGTTCACAAGAGCCCTCCACAGGTCCCTATCCTGACCAAGATGAATCCAATCCATACCACCCCATCCTATCTCTGTAAAATCCATTTAATTATTGTCCACCCATCTCCGTCTTAGTCTTCCCAGTGGTCTCTTTCCTTCTGGATTTCCCACCGATATCCTATATGGTACAGTAAAGGAAATTATAAATTCAAGGTATCGGCAGTAAAGCTTGAGTTTCCCTCCCGGTATTGAGTTTTGTATATCATCTTTATTTTCTTTCGGCTATGATACTCCCCTTTAGTATATACTAATAAATAAAACCTTACGACATCTGCTTTATTAATAAGATCGTAAGATAGCCTTTTACTGAACAGTTTTTTACTGTCGTAATGTTCACTACTTTGACTTATTATACGCTTCTTCATAAGACGTTCTCTGCTTAATGCGCAGATAAGATATACTGTTCTCATTAGCCTACCCATACTTTCGGAACAAGTTTCTTTGTCCTCGCTTGAAATAAATTACCATTTTATTACTACTTCAAGTTACCTACCAAAACTGCGATATTTATAGTGAGTAAGCCCTAACTTGGGCCGCGCCATAGCTCAAGCGGTTAGTCGCTGGCTTCCCACCGCGGCGGCCCGGGTTCGATCCCGGGTCTGGTCATGTGCGATTTGTGGTGGACAAAGTGGCGTTGGGGCAGGTTTTCTCCGAGTACTTCGGTTTCCCCTGCCAATCTTCATTCCACCAATTGCTCCACAATCACCCTCACCTATCATCTGGGGCTGGTACAATAGGCCAGAAGTGGCCGCAGTACAAGGGACTTAGTCCCACCCCACTATCGGTAAAAAAAAAAAGCCTTACCTTACATCTCAGTATACAGAGAACATTTTCACACTGTGTATGTTTATTAGTTCTAGTAAAAGGCCGTTTACGCAAAATGGTTACTAAACATACCACCTGTTTTAGCATTAAAAAATCTCGGCATTTTTCCTACAGAGAATTTCATAGGATTATGGGAATAAACAGTTATTTTTGGTTTCTTGAACAGCGTTAATCACTTGGCCTTCATAACGAAAACAATGTTTGTTTCTTGTCACTCACTCACTCACTCATGAAGCTGAGTCCTTCTTGAGAAGCCACCAATTGTGCAGCTACTCAGAATTTCCCAGCATTTTATGCAACCCGAAGGTTTATTACCGTGTTCACAAGAGCACTCTACTGGCCCCTATCCTGAGCCAGATCAATTCAATCCATACCATCCCATCCTCCCTCTCTATGATCCATTTTAATATTGTCCACCCACCTACGCCTTGGTCTCCCCAGTGGTCTCTTTCCTTCTGGCTTTCTCTACAATATCCTTTATGCATTCCTCTTCTCCTCATTCGTGCTTCATGCCCTGTCCACCTCATCCTCCTTGACTTGATCATTCTAAATACTTGGAGAAGGGTACAAGTTATGATGCTCCTCATTATGCAGTTTTCTCCAACCTCTGTAACTTCATCTCTCTTCAGTCCAAATAATCTCCTCAACACCCTGTTCTCAAACACCCTCAGTCTATATCCTCCCTTAATATCAGAGACCAAGTTTCACACCCATACAGAACCACAGGTAAAATTAGAGTTTTGTATGTTCTAATTTTTATGTTTTTGAACAGCAGACATGAAGACAAGAGGTTCTGGACTGAATGGTAGCAAGCATTACCCGAGTTCAATCTACTCTTAATTTCCTCCTGGATCAAGTTTTGACTTGTTACAGTCGTTCCCAAATATATGAACTGTGCCACAATTTCAAGAGTGTTTGTTGTGAGATATGAAATTAATTCTTACGTATTGTTTTATGAGCAATTTGTGCTTCGAAGGGTTAATTCGATCCTCCATTCATGTTCAATTTTCGCCAACCACGTCGTACTGCAGTTCCAGCCAACTGCCTTCTCCCTTCCTCCTGGGTACATTATCCTTACAAGTTCAAGCCATCTTTTGTTTCTTGATTTAAGTGATGCCACGAAGGACTTCAGCATGTAGGGCTACACCTCCACGTGAATCTCAGAAGAAAGGTTATGTCATTCAGCGAACTCACTGCTATATTCACAGTTGTAACCAGGGCCCGGATTTTGATGACATGTCATCCTTTTTTTCCTTGTATCCTATGCGATGCTCTTAAATATATAAATCTTGGATATGAGCTGCTGGTTACAGAAATGTAAATTTTATAGGTAATTTTTTTGTAATTTTTAGGTTTAAGATCTTTTTTTTTCATTTTTGGGGTAATTTTTTGGACTTTTAAGGGTATTTCTTGTCATTTTTGGCCATTTTAGGGATTTTTTCTTCGTATATTTTCTGAAATGTGAATAACATGGAAGCGAAATGTTGTTTCTTTTCTCCTTTAGGTCATTTTTCTGGATTTTTTCGGTCATTTTATAGTTCATTTTTTTAATATTTTCAGGTCATCAAAATCCGGGCCCTGCATATTACATTTTTGGGTCATATTTTAGGTAATTTTTCTGGATTTTTTCGGTCATTTTTAAATATTTTCAGGTCATCAAAATCCGGGCCCTGGTTATAACATACAGTTCACTGTACTAGTCAACTGCATTGCGTATCACACTGTGAAACTCTACCCTATCTGTAGTGGCACAGGCCAGACAGCAAACAGATGAAGAATTTCATGTCGAGCTTGCAAGCAATGGCACAGGAAAAAGTGCGTTGTTCATAGGCATAGAAACAGCACGCCTTAAAATCGAGAGCATGATTTCATTTTGTTTCAGACTTAATAATTCATTCCTCTGCAGTATGAACTAAACAGATTCCATGGAAACAGAGTCCTTGAGACGCTCACATTTGCTCATAGCAGCTTTACAAGGAACTCTCTCATTTTTTTTTTGGAAATTGATTTCACAAAATTCTAGCACCGAATCCTATCCTGAGACAGATGAATCTAATTCACATGTCACGATCCATTACTTTGAGATAAATTTTAATAATACCATAACATCCATTCCTAGGAAACCCAAGTTATCTCCTCCCTTCTAGTCCACTCACAGATTCTTTATTGATGTCTTATCTACTCCAGACAGCCTGTGTTGTCTTAGTGGTCACAGTTCCTGGCGACAGATCCAGAGGTCCCGAGTTCGATTCCCGGGTGCTACCAGATTTTCTGAGAAGTAGTGGATCTAGAACGGGATCCACTCAGCCTCGTGAGTATAACTGAGGAGCTGCTTCAAGGAAATAGTGGCTCCAGTCTAGAAAACCGAGATTAACGGCCGTGTGAATCCGTTGCGCTGACCATGAGACACTCTATATCAGCAAAAGTTGGAATTAACTTCGCTGACAAGCGGCGGTCGCTCTGTCGGTATAGTTCGCTTGAGGACTAAAGGCCACGGAGTTTTTTGTTTGTCTTATCCACTCCATGTATGCTACGTGTCTCGCCTATCTAATTCTCACTTTCTGCTCACCCCGACAATACTGGTCAAGAGTAGAATTTTATTTAATGAAGCTGTAAGTATCTCTACCGATCACAGTGGCCGTGCGGGTTCGAATCCCACTCGAGGCATGGATGTTTGTGTGAGTTTATTCTGTATCTGTGCTGTCCTGTGTGTAGGTAGCGGCCTTGCGACAGGCAGATCCCCCGTTCAAGGAATCCAACCGACTGTGTAAAAAGCGGGCAAGGTCCAAAAGAGGCCCGTAGAGCCATAGATAGATAGTAAGTACCTGAAAATTTAATATATGGCATGACGTGATTGCAACAAATGAACAGTTAATTGGAAACGATACTGAAGGAAGCTGCCCTATCCCATCTGAGGAGCTAATCTCTGAATTTACCTGGAGGGACTGAGAGAAACCATGAACGCTGATTCAGTACCAAGATTTGAACCTGTGACTTTCCGTACATGAAGGAGCGCCACCCACTCTCGACCGCGACTTCCGGTAACAAACACTAATCTGGGCCTCGCCGGTCACGGTAGCCGAGCGGTCAAGGCATGAAATGACTTCGCTCACTTGGAAACCGGGATCGTGGGTTCGAATCCCACTCAGGGCATGGATGTTTAATTTGTGTGCGTGCGTTTTTCTGTGTTTGTGTACAGGTAGAGGCCTTGCGACGAGCTGATCACCCGCCCAAGGAGTCCTACCGAATGTGAAAGATCTAGAAAAACCGAAGTGAACGGAGAAGTTCATGGAGGCAGGCCTAGGCCCACTGGGGCTGTAGTGCCAAGGAAAAAAGAAAGCTGGGCGCCTCTGTTCCACTTTGCTGTGTGTCATTAGAAATATGAATCCTTTCACAGTCAGCCTTACAATTGATGCTGTGTTTCATTTTGTGTCTCATTTTAATAATGTTAACTGTAATAATTATTAACTTTAATAAACCCTCGAAAATTTGGTAATGTTATTAAACTTGGAGAGTAGGCCGCGCAATAGCTCAAGCGGTTAGTCGATGGCTTCCCACCGCGGCGGCCCGGGTTCGATCCCGGGTCTGGTCAAGTGGGATTTGTGGTGGACAAAGTGGAGCTGGGGCGGGTTTTCTCCGAGTACTTCTGTTTCCTCTGCCAATCTTCATTCCACCAAATTCTCCATCATCATAATCACCCGGGACAGGATACAATATGCCAATCAGTGGCCGCCGTGCCGAGTGGACCCAGTTGGATTCCACCCCCCACTAAGCGAATTAAAAAAAATACTGGGAGGGTCAGCAATAAAGAAAAATTACGTTTAAGAGAATGTATTCAGAGAATGCTTGCTAGCATTCAGTTTAAATTATTCTTTTACTTCTTGTCTTCCACAAAAACGTAAGAATTAAAATATACAAATTTATAATTTCACCTTTTATTTTATATGTGAGTATAGTTCGCTTGCGGACTCAAGCCACGGAGTATGTTTTTTGTTTTTATTTTTTTATGAAATTTAAACATTCGCCCGAAGGTGTCTGAGTAAAAACTGATGATGAAAGGCCCAGGAGACAGGAAGTGACGTGTGGTCCGAGAATGTTGCGGTGTGGAGCTTAAAAATTTCTATTCTCCATCAAATATTGTTAGAATGATCAAATCAAGGAAGATGAAATGAATGGACAATGCAGGAAATTTAAGGAGGACGAGAAATGCATAAAAATGTTGATCAGGTAACATGAACTGGACGAGACAGTTTGGAGAAGGAGACATGGACCGTGACCACACAGGGCTTCTGTTCGCCGGTGGGCGATGTGAAAGCAGCCCGGGTACCATAAAAGCGATGAATTTCTTAAGTGACTCTGAAGCCTTAGAGAAGGAATCAGCTGCGTGTTGCTTCGTAACGTTTTCCAGCTCATTAGATGCGAAACTTATTTCTTTAACTGGAAATGAACTCAGAAACTGGGGTTTCTTCAGGAAGTTATAAAACGTTGCTGTGAAAATTCATAAATCATTCCATATATCGAAAACTTAAACAAATATCTCGCTGTACCTAAGCAACAATAGTCAGTGGACACGTTATGCGTTACAATTCTACATCTGCGTAACAACATACGCTGGTAGCGCTATTTCCGGTTGGAGTTGTGTCATACTTTTGTTCAAATTCAGTGTTCTTACTACAGCCTCGTTTCCTCTTCTGGGAACGGCTGCTGCTAAATGCCAGGGTCCTGGCGTCATACCTCGCTATTACTCCACGTGCCTCCGGCAGCAGACTGCATCGTACTGAATGTGCTAATGGTAACACTCTTTCTTCTGTGTTGTATCGGCAGTGTGGAGTACTTGCTAATGCTACTGTGACAACTACCCGTCGTCGTGCCCCCCGAGCTGCTTGAGGACGTTGAGGCCCCACCCTCAGACACACCCAGCACCCCTTGGTGCACCAGAGTTCCCTGCGCTGCTCCACCGAACCGCTGAAGTTGCTGAGCAAACAGGAAAGGCGTTGGCACCGTGTCGGGTGCGGTTGTCGGCTTCGTGGTCACGAGTGGCTGCTGTCTCATGAGCGTTATCGGGACGGTGACTCCTACTAGAGGAGCGTCGTATTCATTCATCGCTGGAGTTGTGTCAGTCTGCGGGGGTTTCCCTGGAGGTAGAGCAGAGTCCGCTGCGGAGACCAGAACACTTGTAGGAGCGTTGCCTCCATCTCTGGTTGGATTCGTGGTACATATGTCTGGAGCAGTGTTACTGAGAGGCCCTTCAACGCCCTCCACGTCACTGGCGACTAGTGCCCCGTAGTACTCCATGCTACTGCCACTCCACAGACTGGGAGGACCGTTTTGACGCCTCCTGCCGCCTGAACTGTGGTGTTGGACAAGGTACTCGCCCGCAGAACCCTGCCGTAGACGTCTCTCAGCTCCGGGTACCATCACACGGACCATGTCCTCAACTGTGGGAAAGCGCCTGAGATATGCTGTTATGGACAGCAGAGCGGCAAGTTCAGCCATGATGAAGGCAGCTCCTGCGGCGAAGAAGGACCAGCCGTATCGGTAGTCAAACAAGTTAGAGGGGTTGTTGTACGCCGTGACAGACACCTGTCTTCGGGGTCGGTCAAGGTAGGCGTCACTCAGCACCGAGGCAAATATGACAAGACCACCACCCAGCGACAGACCTGTGGGCAAAAGGGTACAAGTGGCTTATTAGTACACATGGGACGGGATATCAACTAAAAATTGTATTAATTTAAAAACAAATGTACTCTCACGTTTCATCGGCCACGGTCACTTCCTTCTATATACTTTCCAATTAATTGTTTACTATAATCTATTTATCCCATTTTATAGACTCTGGCTTAGTGGCAGTGTCGTTAAACAAACTAAAGAAAAATAAAAATACCACACATTTAAGGTGAGTATGCATCAATAAGCCGGTCACGGTGGCCGCGCGGTCTAAGGCATGCACCGTCTTCGCTCGCTCGGAAGCCGGGACCGTGGGTTCGGATCTGTTTCCTGTGAGGTACGAACTGAATTCTTATATATTATTCTTATACACTGCCGGTCACGGTAGCCGAGCGGTCTAAGGCATGCACTGTCTTCGCTCGCTCGGAAGCCGGGATCGTGGGTTCGGATCTGTTTCCTGTGAGGTACGAACTGAATTCTTATATATTATTCTTATACATGGCCGGTCACGGTAGCCGAGCGGTCTAAGGCATGCACTGTCTTCGCTCGCTCGGAAGCCGGGATCGTGGGTTCGGATCTGTTTCCTGTGAGGTACGAACTGAATTCTTATATATTATTCTTATACACCGCCGGTCACAGTAGCCGAGCGGTCTAAGGCATGCACTGTCTTCGCTCGCTCGGAAGTCGGGATCGTGGGTTCGGATCTGTTTCCTGTGAGGTACGAACTGAATTCTTATATATTATTCTTATACACTGCCGGTCACGGTGGCCGCGCGGTCTAAGGCATGAACAGTCTTCGCTGGCTCGGACGCTGGGATCGTGGGTTCGAATCCCATTCAACGCATGAATGTCTGTGTCTGTGTTGTTCTGCGTATAAGTAGCGGCCTTGCGACGGGCTCATCCCCAGTCTAAGGAGTCTGTGTAAAAAAGATTACAACATTGAAGAAGAGGCCAGGGCCCAACGAAGGGTTGTAGAGCCATTGATGAATGAATGAATGCATCAACAGAGTGAATAAAGTAGACATGTCTGAAGCGACGATGATGTTGGCGTTCGCTCCGATGGAGACACTGACTTGTATACATCGCGAAGAAATTTATGCCCACACACCAGCACAAACATAAGTGAGTTTGAAGAATGCCGTCTTCTGGCTTGTGGTGCCTTGTATATATTTTGTTAAACGACGTTTCGCAGGAAAGTATCACCTCCATCTTCAGGGTATAAGAAATCCGCCGATGATGAACCAGAGTGAGCAGGTGGCTTCAACCACACGGCGTCACATCCCAGAGGACAGCATTCTTCAGTCATAGCCGTGAAAACCTCAAGTCGTACATACGTGTGTTTGTAATACCAACAGACCGAGAAATACGATCTCACGTGGCCTAACGTAATGTAAGGTATTAACATAACCAAACCTGAAGTAACCGAGCGTGTGTCTTACACAAACAAATTAAGAACACAAATAAAAATTAGACTGACAGGAACTCCAAGTTAATTAACATAAGCAGCCAATAGTCTATAACTGTACCGAGTGAGATATCCCGGCTCATAACGAGTTTGGTGCAGTTGATAAAATACTAACTTTCAGGGAAATCCGAAGCACTGGGAGAAAACCGACCCTTAATGCCTCTTTTTCTTCCCCTTGGCACTATAGCCCCAGTGGGCCTAGGCCTACCTCCACGAACTTCTCAGTTCACTTCGGTTTTTCCAGATCTTACACATTCGGTAGGACTCCTTGGGCGGGTGATCAGCTCGTCGCAAGGCTTCTACCTGTACACAAACACAGAAAAACGCACACACAAACTAAACATCCATGCCCTGAGTGGGATTCGAACCCACGATCTCGGTTTCCGAGCGAGCGAAGACAGTGCATGCCTTAGACCGCTCGGCTACCGTGATAGGCCCAATGAGTCTTACTCCACCACAAATCCCACACAACCCAACTACGGATCGAACATGCTCCACCGCTGTTGGAAGCCGACGACTAACCGCTTGAGCTACAGCACGGCCTCAAGAAGTGCCCATTTAGATCACTAAATACGGTTTATTTGACGGCTCTGTCAAACACTCGGATCCAATTGCGTCGAATTACGGAATGTTGCAATGGAATGAATGTGGACTGAAGATGCTGGGGTCTAACTTCGTATGTTCTTCTTCTATTCCTGTTGCTCCCACTTAGAGTCACAGGTATCCGTGAAACGCTTCGTTTCACTTCAGTTTCTTAATCTAAGACAGTCGGTAGGACTCCTTGGACTGGGGATCAGCCCGCCGCAAGGCCGCTACCTAACACAAACACAGAATAAACGCAAACAGACGTTCATAACCAAGATTCCAGTGTTCGAGCGAGCGAAGACTTCCTCAGACCGCGTGGTCACTGTGGCCTGCGCACTTCCGGTACTATCGTGGAAATTGCTTGAAGGGATTGATAGGAACCTCAGACATGACAGTTGGTGTCCTGACTGAGATTCAAACCGACCATCTACCAGAAACATTTCTTGGACGTTATTGCCTGAGAATGCATGCGTGGTTGTACAATGTTTGGTTACCAGCAGAAAGACTTAGTTCCTTGTCCTTCTGACATGTCAGGCTAGATTTAATCAAATACTTAATTAAGAAGATGAAATAAGAAGACTGCAACCGGATACGGTGTCACTACACCCGGTCTGAGGTACCTGATACAGGCAAGGCAAACGCCACTGTAACGACGGATTCCACCAGAGAGCGCGTCTCTGCGCCGTCGCCATTATATATGCCAGTAAAACTCTTGCTAATGTACACAGAAGAATCAACTAAATGGAATACTTCATCTTCCTGCCACTCAGCTAAGCTGAAGGAATGAATTCATCATCGTTTGCGTCTTTCTATTCCCTTCGTTTTTCTCTTCAACCTCGGCGTGACTCTACGGTAGTTACATGGCTGTTTTCAGAAGAAAGAGCAATCTACAATTTACTTCATTTCTAAAAATGTGATCAGAGATCAGCGCTACTTAGGCAGTTAAACGCGCTGTCAATATCTCCAAATATATATCATAGAGTGACAGAAAAATCGATAAACAATGAATCTTAAATGTGGAAGGAAGAGGCTGCGGTCTTATTTACTACCACGGAAGCGGCCTCCGTAGTCTAGAGGTAACGTTCCCACCTCATGACTCGTGGTACGCGGGTTCAAATACCCGGCGGAGGTCGTCGAATTTTTAAGGGCGGAAAAATTCAGGGAACAAGTCCTCCGGGAGGGACTTTAAGCTGTGTGTCCCGTGTCGTAACTTTACGGCACGTAAAAGAACCTCATATCCCCAAAGGGAATCACTGAGCCAAATTTCAGGACGTTTCCCGCCCAACAATAGCCTCTAAGGCCTCTCATAGATGGGGAAAGCATTATAGACACCGCTAAGCAAGTGGCCGAACTCGCTTGCTCGGCGGGACTGATGGTACGCACCATTTATCGCTAGGGTAAAGAGACTGGTAGAATATCATAGAGGGAAGCACAATAGATCAAACTGGTCGCGGTGCATGGGGAAACCCACCCTCTCTAAATAACTAACTAACTACTACCACGGCACATGACTCGAAGGTCTGAGGTATATCAGGACCATCAGGACGATACCTCAGCCAGGACAGGCGGTCTAGAGAGAACCTCTCCAGTACGAGGCAAGGATGTTATCCGCTCGACATCCATAATCAGTCCAAGGCACTGATTGGCAAGTAACCAGAAAAAAAAATCCGTTAAAAAGACTGGGAGTGTGTAGGTAACGAACCCTTTACAATAATCCACATCCGGTACATGGAATATTCTATGGAAATCCAAAACTTAGATTTTTTCCTAAAACGTTTATTTTTTCGATTACATTTATTATTTATCGTGTCTATAACGACGTTTTCGGTAGTTAATGCTATATAGTAACAGTCAGTGACAAGCCATGTCTTAGCTCAGGCCGTTAGTCGCTGGCTTCCCACCGTGGCGGCCCTTGTTCGAGCCCGCGTCAGGTCATGTGGGATTTGTGGTGAACAAAGTGATGCTGGGGTAGGTTTTCTCCGAGTACTTCGGTTTCCACAGCCAATTTTCATTCCACCGACTGCTTCACATTCATCATCATCATCATCTGTTATTCATATAATAGGCCCATTAGTCGCCGACGTACCAAGTGGACTCAGTCTCACCTAACCCCAAGAAACTAAAAAAAAAAGTTAGTAACAAGTTATCGGTAACGGACGTGGTAGCAATCGGGTTTGATCTAGTTTGAGCTACTCCTAGCATGTGAGCGAAGACACTAAAGCACAAGCAGGAAGTGAGGCAGTGTCCTGGCCGGGATTAGAATCAGGTGCTTTAAGAATGGAGCCGTGCTGTCTCGTATCCAGTGAGCACCACTGGCTGAAGAAACTATTGAAAAAGTCTAAAATGGACTGGACCTTACACAGACCTCCTGTGGAATCCTCCTGCGGTGTGAAGCTTACGGACAAAGATACCTTATTTTTCACGGTTGTTACCCTTATGTTCTGCAGGTCACTCCATGGATCACGCGGTTTTCATGCCACTGCCAATGTAGGCGTACTTGAGACGTAAGGCAGAAGTATTGGCCCTTAGGTCGAACCTCAAAAAACACATCACTAAATTATTGTCTTTAATTGCATATGCATTTAATTAGAAACGACCCACCGCATTTTTCACCCCTTTTGCTCCCACTCTGAAGCATAGGGCTGATTTTTCAATTTCATAATCATTCTTACAGACGGTAGGACTCCTCTGACGGGGGATCAGCTACCCGCAAGGTCTCTAAATAAACACAAAATAAACGCATACACACACCAAACACACAGGCCTTGCGTCGATTCGAACCCACGATCCCTGCTTCCGAGCGAGGGAAGACAGTACATGCCTTAGACCGCTCGGCTACCGTGATCGGCGACCCACCGCATCCTTTTGCTTTAATATAGAAACCAACCCCTATGAACTACGGCAGTCGCAATACGTACCACCTGCCTTAAAATTAGAAAACTC